CCTCCCTCCTCCCTCTCTCCCCCTCCCTCCCTCCCTCCCTCCCTCCCTCCCTCCCTCCTCCTCACTCCCCCTACGTCTCGATGCCGCCGCTCCCCAGACCTCTCTCTCCAAGGGGCGCGCTCGGCCCAGGACTGCGAGAGGCGAACCCCAGCGGCGGCGACGGCGGAGGCCCAGCGAGGGGAGGGCAGAGAGGAGGGAACAGCGAGGGGAACCACGAGGGGAAACGACGAGGGGAGGCCCCACAACAGGTGGAACAGCGCGGGGAACAACGAGGGGGAACAACGGGGGGAGGCCCCCAAGAAAGGGGGGAAACGACGAGGCGAGGGCAGAGATGTAGGATAATTAGGGGCACCTTTGCCTCCTCTGGCCTCTCGGGGGCCGACTGCAGCCCCCGAGAGGCCTCCCGCCGCCGCGGCCTGCCTCGCGCCGCGGGCACGCCTGAGGCCGCGAGCGCGGCCCCCTCCGCTCCGCGGCGGGCTCCGCCCCCCCCCCCCCCCCCCCCCCCCCCCTCTGGGAGGAGGAGGAGGAGGAGGAGGAGGAGGAGGAGAGGAGGAGGAGGAGGAGGAGGAGGAGGAGGAGGAGGAGGGGAGGAGGGGGAGGCAGGAGGCGGAGGAGGAGGAGGAGGAGGAGAGGAGGAGGAGGAGGAGGAGGAGGAGGAGGAGGAGGAGGAGGAGGGGGAGCAGGAGGAGGAGGAGGAGGAGGCGGAGGAGAGGAGGAGGAGGAGAGGAGGCGGTGAGGAGGAGGAGGAGGAGGAGGATGAGGGAGGAGGAGGACGAGGGACGAGGAGGACGAGGAGGAGGACGAGGCGAGGGAGGAGGAGGAGGAGGCTCGCCGCCTGGGAAGGGGGGCGACAAGGACGGGAGGGGGCGGAGGCCGGGGCGAACTCTGCGGCCCGCACATCGGGCGCCTCGAATCAAACTCGAGGCGGAGGTCTTTCATGTAGTTTTTGGCCCCTCGGGGCCCTCGCTGGGCCTCGGGGCCGTCAGAAAACGACCCGGGAGGAGAAGCCGGTCCCGGGGAAGTGGTCGGGAGGTCGGGGGCAGGAGGTGGAGGAGGAGGAGGAGGAGGAGGAGGAGAAGGAGGAGGAGGAGGAGGAGGAGGAGGAGGAGCAGGAGGAGGAGCAGGAGGAGGACGACGAGGAGGAGGAGGAGGAGGGCCCGCGCCTCGAAGAAATCGAGGCGTCGGGTGTCTGGGCTCGCCGGAGCGCCGCTGCGCCGTAAAAGGCCCCCCCCCCGGGGGCCCCGACGGCTCGAGCGCCAGCGTCTGAGAGCACGCGGTGGGGCGCGCCGAGGCGTGCTCCCCAGACCCCCGACGTAATGATTTTTTCATTACGTCGACCCCCAGAGGTCCCGACCCGTTCCCCATGACCGGCTTTGCATCCTGCGTCGTTTTTTGACGCTCCCGAGGCCCGGCGAGGGTCGCCGGAGGCCGAAAATTGGGAAAAACCTCCCGTCATGATTTTTTCATTACTCGAGGGGGTCTGGCTCCCAGGCAGGATCGCGGCGTAAAGAAAAGCAGGGCGCGTCGGGGGCGTTTCGCAACGGTGCGGCCCCTGGGGGCCCTCGCCGGGCCCCAGGGCCGCCAAGACACGAGTCATGATGGCAGGCCGGCCCCCGGGGAAAGGGTCGGGACTTCCGGGGACCCCGTCCTGAGAAAATGAAGACGTCGCACGTCTGGGCTCAGACTGGATCTCCTCCGTGGAGGCGCGCGTCCGACCCGAACAGATCGTATACCGATCTTGCAGTATATCGTATCCCCAGCGGTGCGGCCAGAAAGCGCCCGCCACGACGCATATACGATAGAAGAGCTCTCGGTGCGCGCGTCGCCCCTGGGGGAGCGACGCACACATAGTATAAGTATGTTGGGGCGAGGCCGATACAGCCAACCCTGACTCCGGATCCGCCCTACTTTGGGGAAATTCGCAAGTAGGGCTTGGAATTTCCGCCCTACTTTTCAAGCCCCGCTGATGCCAATTTCCGCCCTACTTTTCTGTTGCTGTTTCCGCCCTACTTCTGTGGATGTCCGCCCTACTTCATGTTGGGTGCATAAATTTCCGCCCTACTTGTTCCGCTTCTTCTGGGTGGATATCCGACGCAATCCTAAGTTGGAAAAAAACAGAGTAGGGCGGATCTGGAGTCAGGGAACCCCTGTGGCGGATTCCGGCAGCCCTGACCCCCCCCCAAAACGTTGCCGCCTCATGCGTGCGCATCTTCTACTCCGGCCGCCTTCCGCCGGCCTTCCGCAGGCTTCCGCCGCCTTCCGCCGGCCTCGTTTTCCTTCCGCCGACGTTCCGCCGAGGAAGAGATGACATCTCTTTCCAGCCTCGAAGGCACGGCCCTCTCTGGAACGCCCCATATAGGAAGGATGCGAGGTAAGGATGCAAGGGCCTCGGAAAGCCGTGTCCCCATGGTACCCGAAGAGGCTAGCCAGCGAAAGCTGCCAGGGACGGGCCGACGGGGCAAGGATGCAAGGGTCACCTTGGAAAGTTGCTCATCCGTCCCGGTCGGGTTGACTGTGGAACTTCCGACCCAGACATCCGACGTCTCGATTTTTTCGAGACGCGGGCCCCCGACCTCCCGACCACTTCCCTGGGACCAGTTTTTCATCCCGAGTCGTTTTTTGACGGTCCCGAGGCCCGGCGAGGGCCCCTCGAGGCCGAAAGCTATGAAAAAACCTCCGTCTCGATTTTTTCGAGACGCCCGATGTCTGGGGAAGCCTCCCCCCCACGAGCCTATGGCCAGGAACTGCCGCGCAGCGTGCCGCGGCGGCGGCCCTTGGCGACACGCCGTGCACCGCCCGAGCCGAGGGCGTGCCGCTCCGCTCCGCGGGGCGGGAGGCCGGGCAGGGCTCGGGCCGCGGGCGCCCGGGCGCTGGGACGTGGACGGCGTGTCGCGCCGAGGCGCGGTGGGCCAAGGCGGGCGGAGCGACACGCCAAGCGGAAGCACCCGCGCACCTGCCTAGATGTCCTTCCTCGGCCGCCCCCCTGGCGCGCGCCGTGGAGGCGGCGCTGCCTCCACGGCGGCCCGGGAGGTGCGGGCTCTTGGCCGGCGTGCCGCGCCCCAGCGCCGCGGGCCAGAGCCCGGCGGCGCGGCGCGCCAAGCCCTGAGCTCCCGACCGCGCGTCCCCCCCCCCCCGACCCTGAGGCCCACCGCTCGCCGAAAAGCCACGGCGGGAGCCGCGGGCCCCCTCTCCCTGCCCCACTCTTCGGGCCCGCTCGACCTGCGAGGGCCCCGAGGCCCAAGACGACGCGACGACGCCCGGCGCGAACAAAAGCGCAACGCCTGGATCCCCATCGTCAAAAACCACGGCCGGAGCCGCAGACCCCATCTTTGCCCCATCTCTTCGGGCCGGCTCGATCTGTGAGGGCCCCAAGGAGGAGGAGGAGGAGGAGGAGGGCGGAGGAGGAAGGAGGAGGAGGAGGCGGAGGAGGAGGAGGAGGAGGAGGCGGAGGAGGAGGAGGAGGAGGAGGAGGAGGAGGAGGAGGGGGAGGAGGAGGAGGAGCGAGGAGGAGGAGGAGGAGGAGGAGGAAGGAGGAGGAGGAGGAGGAGGGGGGAGGAGGGGGAGGAGGAGGAGGAGGAGGAGGAGGAGGAGGAGGAGGAGGAGGAGGAAGGAGGAGGAGGAGGAGGAGGAGGAGGCTCGACCCTCGCCCTTCCCCCCTCAACGCTGCCCCCCTCCGCTCCGCGGCGGGCTCGGGGTGCTGCCCGCGAGGTGCGCGGCCTCCGCCGGCGGGCCGCTGCCTCCGGCCGCCGCCGCCTCCTCCGCCGCTGCGCTCTGCGGCAGCTCCGGCGCCGGCCTGCCGCCCCGAGGCAGGTCCTCCAGAGAGGGAGGGAGGGAGGGAGGGAGGGAGGGAGGGAGGGAGGGAGGGAGGGAGGGAGGGAGGGAGAGGGAGGGAGGGAGGAGGAGGAGGAGGAGGAGGAGGAGGAGGAGGAGGAGGAGGAGGAGGAGGAGGAGGGAGGAGGGAGGGAGGAGGAAGGGAGGGAGAGAGGGTGGGAGGGGAGGACCCTCGCCCTCCACCTTCCGCACCTTCCGCGCGGCAGGTGCCGCGCCGCCGCGGACGCCGCCGCCGCCGAAACCGCTGCTGCGGCCCCGGCGGAAGCCGCAATGGCGGCCGCGGCGGGGCCGCGGCGGCGGCCGCCGCGGCGTGGAACCTGCCGCGCGGAAGGTGCGGAAGGTGGAGGGTGAGGGGGAGAGGAGGAGGAGGAGGAGGAGGAGGAGGAGGAGGAGGAGGAGGAGGAGGAGGCGGAGGGAGGCGGAGGGGAGGAGGAGGAGAGGGAAGGAGGAGGAGGGAGGGGGAGGTGGAGGAGGAGGAGGAGAGAGAGGAGGAGGAGGAGGCCGAGGAGGAGGAGGAGGAGTGAGGAGGGATAGAGGAGGAGGAGGAGGAGGAGGGGAGGAGGAGGAGGGGTAGGAGGAGGAGGAGGAGGAGGAGGAGAGGAGGAGGAGGAGGAGGGAGGAGGGAGGAGGAGGAAGTGGAGGAGAAGGAGGAGGACCTGTACAAACCCAAGACTCATCAATGATGCTTGAAAACTATCAAAAAAAAGCCTCCAAGCTCCCTCTGTGCAGGCTCCTACCAGGAATCACTTCCACTGAGGGAAGTGCCCCGTTGAGAGACAATCGTTGGAAGATCCTGAAGCGTGCCAAAGCGAAGGAAGAGGAGGAGGAGGAGGAAGAAGAAGAGGAAGACGAGGAGGAGGAGGAGGAGGAGGACCAGTGCAAACTCAAGACCCATCAACGATTTTGAAATACACCCTCCCTCCAAGATCCCTCTTCATTGGCTCTACAAGGGGCATTTCCACTGAGGGAATTGCCCCGTTGGGGAAACAACCGTGTGAACATCTTAAAGCGCACCCAAACACCATTCTCAGGACTGCAACCACACGAGTTAACCTGACTGTTACGTCTTAGCGGTCATGATATCGTACTAGAACACCATTCCTGAGACTTCAACACCGCGAATCGACGTAAATGATGCGCCCTGACAGTCCTGAAACGATCCAAATCACCATTGTACGTTAACCATGAGAACCAATTAGACTCTTACAACTGTTTGAAACGAATGTGCGCGGCGCTGCGGCGAGAGCCACATTTTGGAAAGGAGCCGCCCTCACTCCGCGAATATATATTGCAACTTTTGTACAACGAATATGCGCGTCGCTAAAGCAAGAACCACATTTTGAAAGCCATCCGCCCTCAATCCGCTAAGCTCTTGCGAATGTGGAAAACGAGAGCTCGCGGCGCTAAGGCGAGGGCGACGTTTTGAAAACGAGCCGCCCTACTTATGTGAGGATCTTGCAGACGTTGTTCACCGAATGTGCGCGGCGCCAAGGCGAGAGACACAAATTGGACACCACCCGCCGTCAACCCATGAAGCTCTTGCAAGCTTCTTTGAAACAATAAAACACAACAAAAAACGAATGTGCGCGGCGCAAAAGGAGAACCACATTTCGAAAACGAACCGCCCTCAATCCGCTGAGCTCTTGCACATTGGGTAGTTGAAACGAATGTTCGCGGCGCCAAGGGGAGAACCACATTTTGAAAACCACCCGTCCTCCATCCGCAAATCCCTTGCACATGTTTAAAACGAATGCTTGTGGCGCTAAGGCGAGAGCCACATTTTGAAAATCATCCGCCCTCCATCTGTGAAGCTGTTGTCAATGCTTGAGCATCAGTGTCATAAAGGGCGAGGAAGTCTCAGGCGAAACGCCCAGCCCACCCTTTCGACCAGCATCGGGGTGCGACAGGGAGGAGTTATCTATAAGGATAAGGAGTAGGAATGGAGGAGAAGGGGGAGGAGGAGGAGGAGGAGGATGAGGAGGAGGAGGAGGAGGAGGAGGAGGAGGAGGAGGAGGAGGAGGAGGAGAGGAAGAGCGGGAGGAGGGGGGAGGAGGAGGAGGAGGAGGAGGAGGAGGAGGAGGAGGAGGAGGAGGAGGAGAAGGAGGAGGAGGAGGCGGAGGAGGAGGAGGAGGAGGAGGAGGAGAAGAGGAGGAGGAGGAGGAGGAGAGGAGGGAGGAGGCGGAGGAGGAGGAGGAGGAGGAGGAGGAGGAGGAGGCGACGATGTCCCGCGGAGGAGGAGGAGGAGGAGCAGGAAGAGGAACAGGAGGAGAAGGAGTAGGAGGAGGAGGAGGAGGAGGAAGATGAAGATGTGTGTTTTTTCCTCCGCCGAGGTCCAGGCTGCCCTCCAGAGGCGGCACTCCCGGCGGCGGGCCGCCGCATGGCAGGTCCGACGGCGGGCCGCCGCGCGGCAGGTCCGGCGTCGAGCTGCTGGACAGCGCGCACTCCGCGAGGGCCGCCTCCAGCGCCTGGCAGCGGCGTCGAACGAGGAGGGAGGCGGGAGGAGGGAGGAGGGAGGAGGAGGAGGATTAGGAGGAGGAGGAGGAGGAGGAGGAGGAGGAGGAGGAGGAGGAGGAGGAGGAGGAGGAGTGGAGTGGAGCAATCGGACGTAGTCCGTTCGGAACCCAGAGATGCCAGGGGGGCCATCCAGTATTTCTCGGAGGGCCGTGGGGGGCGACATCCCACGGCCCACCGCGACAGGCCCCCCTGGCCTCGCAATTTACTCGGAGGCAGCACCCGCCGCGTAGGAACCGATCGCGGCTTCGGCTGCCGAAACGTGCAAAGCCTCTAGCACAGCCTTGCTGGGACCCGCTCTGGACGGGTGGAGGCCTCGCCTGATCCTGCTGAGGTTCTCGAGGCCTTTGCCAGTGGGTCCCAGGGCCCTGCGCTCTCCCACTTGGTGGGAGAGAGGGCACGGCAAAAGAAGGCTTTTAACCTGGTGCGTGGCCGTATGGCCGCACTTCACACAAAAGAACACTTGCCACTTGGGGATGGTGGCCAAAGTGTGGGAGGGGTGGATCAACTTGCCACTGATCACGCGGGGACCCCTCGACCACAGCACCTCTCCACACGCAGCGAACTCGGGAAGGGGGCAAGGCGGCACACACTCAGTGGCGGCAGCTGGAATAACGTGGCACGCGTCAACGATGATGAGGCAGGCAGGGCATCTCCATTTGTCTGCACACCGCTCGAATTTGTGCTGAGAAGCCGCGATCGCGGTCTGCAACTGAGAGCGAGGGGCTGCCTCCTGGGTGGATTGCCTTTCTGGCCACTGTCCTCGAGGCTCTGAATTCTTGCCTAAGGAACGTAAGATCAGTCGGGCCCTCTGTCGGACGATGGCTGCAATAGCGTCATATTCATCGGTCCTGGGGACAGGCGGGAGGGCAAGGGTGGCCGACTTGTGGGCCGCGCTTCCCGCGAGCTCATCGGCATGCTGGTTGCCGAGAGCCATAATTTTTTGGAAACCATTCAACGTGAGGGGATCGGCGTGAGATGGGGTCCAGAGCACCGAGACCGAAGAGCAGCCGCCAGATCGATCCTGCACGAGGTGCCGAATTCTCAGCCAGAGATCCCCATTCTGATTCTTGCCTCTGAGGCTGCCAGGTCGGAGACATCTGCCATTCTGCCAGCCGCGCTGCAGGGCTAGGTGATCAGTAACAAACGTGAAATCCTGCTGGCACGTCTCAAGAGCCAGGCAAAACGCATGCAATTCGCCTCTTGGGACAGTCTGGCGGGGGCCTGGGAGGGGGGCGAGGAGGCCCGCGTGGAGGGCCCAGGAGGCCGAAGGAGGGTCCCATCGGAGGGCCGCGAGGCCAGAACCAACACGTCGTCGTCTGACGTCGTCGGAAAAGGCGCCGCCAGACCCGTCGCCAAAAATCGCCAAAAAGAAACAACTCGCCCTCAGCGTTACGAGCTCCTTCCCACGACGGCAACCCATCCCGCACCGCGCCAACAAACTCCCACCCGTCCCTCCCAGTCAATGGCTCGAACGCGGGCGTAGTGAGAGCGACGGAGGGAATGCCACGGAGCCACAGGGCAGAGTCAGCTTCGGCCCCCGCCACAACTCGCGGTAGTAGCTTGTCACTGGCCTCAAACTCAGGTCCCACATTCGCCTCGCACTGCCACATACGGTGAAACAGGGTTTCAGGAACTCCTGCGCTGCATCGGTCGCAGTTCTTGTCGATCTGGTAGCCCGAGTTGTGGAGGCGGTCCCTGGTCCATTGTCCTCCACTGATGACGGTGGTTGTTGAGGGCCCAGTCGCTGAAATCACCGTTTGCGAGGAGCCTCCTTTGTTCAATGCGGATAGTGACCATGTCCGCTCCTCCAGCCAGCGTGTCGCCATGGTCATGGGTAGCGGCCTGAGTCCAGAGGAGCCTGTGCAAATCCTCGCTGAGGTCCTGCAATGCTGTGTGGATGTCGGCGTCGGGGAGGTCAGGGTCGTGGGCAGGGGGGAGGTTCCACTCCTCGATGTAGCCGTCCTTTGTGCGCCTCCACGTGGTAGCTGAAGTCGGCTCCCAGCTGGCCTCCAGCAGTGTCGCGATGGCCGCGCCAGTGGGCCCCTTGACCCTGCGCCACAGCTTGGGGCCTGCGGCTAGCAAAGTGGTCTTGATCCTTGGCCATGCTCTGATGATCCTGGCGTGCGTGCTCGGGTGGCGTATCCAGTGCTGGAGCCAAGCCTCGATGAATTCGATCCTTAGGGAAACTCCTGGGTCCATGCCGTCGAAGGTGGCGCCGAGGAGGGAGGTGAGGCATCGGCCCGCTGCTGCCCCCGTGGCCGCGATGGCGGCCTGACGGCGCCATCGTAGTAGAGCGTGTCGCGCAAGGCCGTGTACCTGATGACCGAAGACTCCTTCGGGGAGAACGCCAGTACGCCACAGTCCTGCTGAGATTCGAGCCTGCTGTGCAGTGCTCCGTAGTCGGTGTATCTTGCGAAACCTAGCTGCGGCTGAGCTCTGTCGCTTCCTGGCTTTGGCTTGTACCCGTCGAGTAGCCGCGGCCGCGTCAACTCCGAGGTCGACGGCCGTGGCGGTCGCTGTGACAGGGATGTCGTACTGCCGCAACTTCTTGGCTAGCGATTTGCGGGCCTTGGGGGTAGAGCCGATGAGAACCGTCTTGTCAGAGATGGGCAGCTCGAACTCCTTTAGACCGTCGCAGAGCGTCTTGGCGGCACGGGGGAGGTGCTTCTGAAGTGTGCGTAGGACTCCTTCGACTCGAAGGACGGTGTCGTCTACGAAGGTCCACATCTGGGCTAGCTCTGCCTGAGCTTGGGCTTGCCGTAGAATAGGAAGTGATATGAGTCGCGCCAAGGTCGTGCCATGCGGGGAGCCTGCGATGATGCCTTTGGAGGCGAAGATAGGCATACTCACCCATTGTCGACTGCGCAAGAATCTGGGCGCGAGGTATAGCTGTACTTCCAGAAGTAGAACGATGGGGGGAAAGCCGCAGTTGAGGCCGACCATGATGAGGTTGGCGAGCTCGATATTCTCGTAGAACTTCTGGATGTCCAATAGCAATGTGGCTGACTGTATGCCAAGTGCTGAGGCTGTCTCGTCTAACAAGGCCCTGTGCAGGGCGGCCTGGAGAGCTGAGGAGCCTTTGATGGCTGTAGTCCAAAAGTCGTCCAGTCCTTGGGTCCAGGAAGTAGATGCAGTCGATCTGATGCGAGACCAGAGTCTGGCCATGTGAGGTAGCATGCCGAGGACCCTGTCGCCTCCAGACTTCTTGGCTGCTAGGGCTGCAATAGTGCCTGAGATTTGTAGTGGCCAAATGCCTGCCTGCTCTACTGCGTTGAGGATATCCGCATAGGCTTCGACTGCTGGTTCTGGTAGTCGATGGAGGTCGCGAGGTCCAAGTGCGTCAACTCCATGTGCTTTACTGGGTGGCATGCGGCCGTGAAAGCGATGTACGATCTCGGCTGTGATGGGCTCGAGCGGTTGGTGAGCGGCTGCTGCCTTGGCCTTTGATAGCGCCTGTAGGATGTCGTCGGGGGTCTCGGTGGCCTGCCATACTTGTTGCCATTGTTGCTTCTTGCTGTCCATGATAACGGTGGGGTCGGCGATGGTCAGGTTGGTCGTGTAGGCCTCGATGTGACGCACGGGCGCTGGCTTGACATGGGCGTGTAGTACTCCAGGGCGGTGTTTCCATTGCTTGGCGAGCCAGGCGCCGTAGGCCCTCTTGGACTTAGCGAGGGCGGCGGAAAGCGCTCTGGAGGCCCAAGTAGCAGTAATAGTGACCAAGTCGTCGGTGTCCTCGTTGTCCAAGTGCGGGGCCCAGACGAGTGCAAACCAGCGGAAGATGGTGTCCTCGTCCTTCTCGAACTGGAGGTCGTGAAAGTGAGCGCTGAAGTGGTCCGCGCGCTGCTGGATGATGGAGGCCTGCTGCTGCATGAGCGCTGTGTGCTTGGGCTTGTCGTGAAGCGCAGCGTAGCGCTTGATGAGGGTGAGCGTGATTGCCCACCATTCCGACTGAGGGTCATGTACGTGAACGCGGCCTGGGGCGGCGGCCGTCTTCTTCCAGGACAATTGGTAGCCTTGGGCACGGCCTGTGAATGCTGCGGCTTCCTTGGGGTCGATCTGGTGGTGGCTGATCATGGTGTTCTCGAGCGCCGTGACCCATTTGGCGTACTTGAGGTTGAGGTCGTCGGCGTCGTGCGCCCAGTGAGAGTACACGAAGTGCGCGTGGGGCTGCTTACAACGTGTGGGTACTGCTTGCTGCCATTGCTCCTCCCAGAGGTCGGTCGGGATTGCGTAAGGGATAGGCTCCTGTGCTGCGGGCTCGTCTTGAGGCTGGAGTTGTGCTGCTGCTTGTTGGAGTTCAGGAGGTAGTTCGCGTAGGCGTGCTGCTCGAGCTTCTGCTGTTTTACGTCTCTTGATGGCGGACTTGCTGTTGGGGTCGGGTGGGACCCTGGGTCTGTCCACTGTGGGGAATGCTCTGGGGGTATGGATCGACTGATACCACCAGGGGTCTGCACTGCCTGCTCGAACTTCAAGGCCCACGTGGGTGGCCCAGGGGACGGTGGGGCACTGGCGAATGGAAATCGTGTGCTCGATGCCAGTCTTGACCAATGCGAAGTCGAGCGTGAGTCCTTGGCCTTTGTCGCACGTGGCAGATCCAGGCGCTCGCACGATGGTAGCATTCCATTTGGCGGGCCACTCTGTCGCGGCGAGCTGCTCAGGAGTCATGTTACCCGAGCGTCTGTGCCATACCATGGGCGTGAAGCCTCGGAACGGGTCGGGCCTGCGCTGGGAGATGGCCAGGTCGCGGAGGTGGTTGAAGGTTGTGGCCTGGACATGGTACCTGGAGAGGATAATCTCGCCGCCCGTGTTGCCTCCGTCGGATCTGCTAGTCGGCGTGGCTGTAGTAGATGATATCCTCCAACCATCCGCTGCTAGCTTGTCGTAGATGAGAGGGGCCTTACCGTGCGAGATGTGTGTTTCAACCAATGCCACCATCTGATATTGCTTGCCT